TGAGAAGTATGCGAATCGCCAAGAAGGGACGAATCAAACTATATCTCACCTCAGAGAAATGTGCCCTGTCCCTGATATCAACTCGTGCTACACGAATTCGTAAGAATAACGGCGAAGTGAGATTAGAACTATGCGAATCGCTAAGAAGAGACGAATCAAACTATTTTTCACCTCAGAGAAATGCGCCCTGACCCTGAAATCAACTCGTGCTATACGAATTCGTAAGAATAACGGCGAAGTGAGATGAGAAGTATGCGAATCCATAAGAAGAGACCATTCTATCTACTTTTCACCTCAGAGAAATGTGTCCTGTCCCTGATATCAATTCGTGTTCTACGAATTCGTAAGAATAACGGCGAAGTGGTATCGGAAGTATGCGAATCGATGAGAAGCGACGAATCTAGCTACTCTTAACCACAGCGAAATGTGTTTTGCGTTTGACATCAATTCGCATTTTACAAATTCATGAAAATAACGGCGAAGTGACATGAGAAGTATGCGAATCGATAAGACGAGACCAATCTATCGATTTTTCACCTCAGAGAAATGTGTGCTGTCCCTGATATCAACTCGTGTTGTACGAATTCGTAAGAATAACGGCGAAGAGAGATGAGAAGTATGCGAATCGACAAGAACCAACGAATCTATCTACTTTTCACCGGAGAGAAAGGCGTCCTGTCCCTGATATCAATTCGTGTTCTACGCATTCGTAAGAATAACGGCGAAGTGAGATGAGACCTATGCGAATCGATAAGAACAGACGAATCTATCTACTTTTCACCTCAGAGAAATGCGTCCGGTCCCTGATATCAATTCGTGTTCTACGAATTCGGAAGAATAACGGCGAAGTGGTATCAGAAGTATGCGAATCCATGAGAAGCGACCAATCTGTCTATTCTTAAGCACCCCAGAATGTGTTTTGTGTTTGACATCAATTCGCATTTTACAGATTCATGAGAATAACGGCGAAGTGAGATGAGAAGTATGCGAATCGATAAGACGAGACCAATCTATCTATTTTTCACCTCAGAGAAATGTGTCCCGTCCCTGACATCAATTCGTGTTGTACGAATTCGTAAGAATAAAGGCAAGTTGTGACGAGAAGTATGCGAATCGATAAGCAGAGACGAATTTATCTATCTTTCACCTCAGAGAAATGCGTCCTGTCCCTGATATCAATTCGTGTTCTACGAATTCGTAAGAATAACGGCGAAGTGAGATGAGAAGTATGCGAATCGCTAAGGAGAGACGAATCAAACTATTTTTCACTTCAGAGAAATGTGTCCTGTCCCTGATATCAACTCGTGTTCTGCGAATTCGTATGAATAACGGCGAAGTGAGATTACAACTATGCGAATCGATAAGAAGAGACGAATCCATCTGTTTTTAAGCACGTAGAAATGTGTTTTGTGTCTGACATCAATTCGCATTTTACAAATTGATGAGAATAACGGCGAAGCGAGCTGAGAAGTATGCGAATCGATAAGAAGTAACGAATCTATCTACTTTTCAACTTAGAGTCAACTGTCCTGTCCCCGATATCAATTCGTGTTCTACGCATTCGTGAGAATAACGGCGAAGTGAGATAAGAACTATGCGAATCGTCAAGAAGTGACGAATCAAACTATTTTTCACCTCAGAGAAATGCGCCCTGTCCCTGATATCAATTCGTGTTCTACGAATTCATAAGAATAACGCCGAAGTGAGATGAGAAGTATGCGAATCGATAAGAAGAGACGAATCTATGTACTTTTCACCTCAGAGAAATGCGTCCTGTCCTTGATATGAATTCGTGTTCTACGAATTCGTAAGAGTAACGGCGAAGTGAGATGAGAAGTACGCGAATCTATAAGAAGAGACGAATCTATCTACTCTTAAGCACGGCGAAATGTGTTTTGTGTTTGACATCAACTCGCATTTTACTAATTAATGAGAATAACGGCGAATTGAGATGAGAGTATGCGAATCGATAAGCAGAGACGAATTTATCTATCTTTCACCTCGTAGAAATGTGTCCTGTCCCTGACATCAATTCCTGTTGTACGAATTCATAAGAATAACGGCGAGTTGATATGAGAAGGATGCGAATCGATAAGAAGAGACGAATCTATCTACTTTTCACCTGAGAGAAATGCGTGCTGTTCCTAGTATCATTTCGTGTTCTACGAAATCATAAGGTTAACGGCGAAGTGAGATGAGAAGTATGCGAATCGATAAGAAGAGACGAATCTATCTACTTTTCAACTCAGAGAAATGCGTCCTGTCCCTGATATCAATTCGTGCTCTACGATTTCTATAAGAATAACGGCGAAGTGAGGTGAGAAGTATGCGATTCGATTAGAAGAGACGAATCTGTCTATTCCTAAGCACAGCGAAATGTGTTTTGTGTTTGACATCAATTCGCATTTTACAACTTCATGAGAATAACGGCGAAGTGAGATGAGAAGTATGCGAATCAATAAGAAGAGACGAATCTATCTATTCCTAAGCACAGCGAAATGTGTTTTGTGTTTGACATCAATTCGCATTTTACAAATTCATGAGAATACCGGCGAAACGAGATGAGAAGTATGCGAATCGATAAGAAGAGACGAATCTATCTGCTTTTCAACCCAGAGAAATCTGTCCTGTCCCCGATATCAATTCGTGCTCTACGAATTCATAAGAATAACGGCGAAGTGAGATGAGAAGTACCCGAATCGATAAGACGAGACCAGTCTATCTGTTTTTCACCTCAGAGAAATGCGTCCTGTCCCTGATATCAAGTCGTGTTCTACGAATTCGTAAGAATAACGGCGAGTTGAGATGAGAAGTATGCAAATCGATAAGCACATACGAATTTATCTATCTTTCACTTCAGAGATATGTGTCCTGTCCCTGACATCACTTCGTGTTGTACGAATGTTTAAGAATAATGGCGAATTAAGATGAGAAGTATGCGAATCTATAAGCAGAGACGAATCTATCTATCTTTCACCTCAGAGAAATGTGTCCTGTCCCTGACATCAATTCCTGTTGTACGAATTCGTAAGAATAACGGCGAGTTGATATGAGGAGTATGCGAATCTACAAGCAGAGACGAATTTATCTATCTTTCACCTCAGGGAAATGTGTCCTGTCCCTGATATCAACTCGTTCTTACGAATTCGTAAGAATAACGGCGAAGTGAGATGAGAAGTATGCGAATCGATAAGAAGAGACGAATCTATCTATTCTTAAGCACGGAGAAAGCTGTTTTGTGTCTGACATCAATTCGCATTTTACGAATTCATGAGAATAACGGCGAAGTGAGGTGAGAAGTATGCGAATCGAAAAGACGAGACCAGTCTATCTATTTTTCACCTCAGAGAAATGTGTCCTGTCCCTGATATCAATTCGTGTTCTACGAATCCGTAAGTATAACGGCGGAGTGAGATGAGAAGTATGCGAATCGATAAGAAGATACGAATCTATCTATTCTTAAGCACGGAGAAAGCTGTTTTGTGTCTGACATCAGTTCGCATTTTACGAATTCATGAGAATAACGGCGAAGTGAGCTGAGAAGTATGCGAATCGATAAGAAAAGACGAATCTGTCTACTTTTCACCTCAGAGCAATGCGTCCTGCCCTGACATTAATTCGTGTTCTACGAATTCTTAAGAATAACGGCGAAGTGAGATGAGAAGTATGCGAATCGATGAAAAGAGACGAATCTATCTACTTTTCGCCTAAGAGAAATGCGTCCTGTCCCCGATATCAATTCGTGTTTTACGAATTCGTAGGAATAACGGCGAAGTGAGATGAGAAGTATGCGAATCGATAAGAAGAGACGAATCTATCTATTCTTAAGCACGGAGAAAGCTGTTTTGTGTCTGACATCAGTTCGCATTTTACGAATTTATGAGAATAACGGCGAAGTGAGGTGAGAAGCATGCGAATCGATAAGACGAGACCAATGTATCTATTTTTCACCTCAGAGAAATGTGTCGTGTCCCTGATATCAATTCGTGTTCTACGTATCCGTAAGTATAACGGTGAAGTGAGATGAGAAGTATGCGAATCGATAAGAAGAGACGAATCTATCTATTCTTAAGCACGGAGAAAGCTGTTTTGTGTCTGACGTCAATTCGCATTTTACAAATTCATGAGAATAACGGCGAGGTGAGATGAGAAGTATGCGAATCGATAAGACGAGACCAATCTGTCTACCTTTCACCGCAGAGCAATGCATTCTGTCCCTGATATCAATTCGTGTTCTACGAACTCATAAGAATAACGGCGAAGTGAGATAAGAAGTATGCGAATCGATAATAAGAGACTAATCTATCTACTTTTCACCTCAGAGAAATGCGTCCTGTCCCCGATATCAATTCGTGTTCTACGAACTCATAAGAATAACGGCGAAGTGAGATGAGAAGTATGCGAATCGATAAGAAGAGACGAATCTATCTACTTTTCACTTCAGAGAAATGCGTCCTGTCCCTGATATCAATTCGTGTTCTACGAATTCGTAGGAATAAGGCGAAGTGAGATGAGAAGTATGCGAATCGATAAGAAGAGACGAATCTATCTATTATTAAGCACAGAGAAATCTGTTTTGTCTCTCACATCAGTTCGCATTTTACAAATTCATGAGAATAACGGCGAAGTGAGATGAGTAGTATGGGAATCGATAAAAAGGGAGGAATCTATCTACTTTTCACCTCAAAGAAATCTGTCCTGTTTCCGATATCGAGATCATGGACAATTCGCATCCGCGGCGAACTGAGTTATTCTCTACTATTTTGTGCGGTATGTGACATGTCTTCAGACTGGCTACAGACCTACAATGTTTATCTTTTTCTCGCATTAGTTCAAGTCAGAATCGATTACGAATTCTCTGTTATTTTCTGACTAGTTTAGGTCACCATCTAGGTTAGGTAAGGATCGATTGCGAATTCTCTGTTATTTTCTCACTAGTTTAGGTC